TCACACAACAACCAGCAACTCACAACAATCACCAGTTAACCAATCCACAACCAAAAATAATCAGCAATTCAATGAAACAGTGAAAGAAATAGAGAAAATAGGTCATATGAACAGAATAGAAATTTTCCTAGAATATTCAAGAACAACTGATCTTCGAGCGTTAGCACCTCCCAAAACCATTCTCTCTCAATTTCAAGATATCCCCTCACTCCTCTCACGTCCCTCTTTTATTCCTGACACTCCAGATTCTAACTACTCACACTCCTCATGCCTCATGCCGCATATCAACTCGGCCATTTACCCTTTCTACCCTCCCCTAGTTCTTCGTTTATACCACTTAGCTACCCTGGGTCCATCAGAATCACCCACAGGGTGTTGTTTTGGTCAAATTTAAGGATAGAAATGATGCTTAAAAGTGCATAGACTTGATGAATGGACAATGGTTTGGTGGCAGATAAATACATGCCAGTTGCTTATAACCCATTATTATAAGCTATTAACCCTTCATCATCACCTTAAAATATAAGACAAAGACTTAATTTTGAAGAAACTTACCTAAAGAAAAACTCCATAACGCTTGTGAAATTGGCAACTAAGCCACCTTTGAGCAGACCAACGAACCATGCTTTGCTATAACTGTACACACCAAGAACAGGCTCACTTCTTTCACTGATTTGAGCCCAAGCTAAAAATTCAATTTATAGGAATATATATTGCTTTCATTAAAATGGCTATGGATTTTCATTTCATAAGATATTCATATGCGAATAACACCACCACATTAGAAGTACACAATTACAAATTTTTTCTTTCAGGCATTTAATCAAATACCTCACAATGGGCTCATCTCTCAAATGCAAACCCTCTTTCAATCATTTCATCAAACATCAAGGCAACAAATATGCGGTAGTTACATAATTTCAGCCAACAGTTCTTTCCTGGTTGACCCTATTAACAAAATCCACAGAACAAATAAATCCAGACTAAGGACACAACCTGACAAGAATTCTTCTCAAATTACATTTCTAAAGAAATAAACCATTGTTGAAATTGGGTGAGATAAGGCTCTCCACAAACACATCCGAAGAATAAATAACCCTTGAGGGAATGCCAATTTTAAATCCTGACAAGTACCAAATTCCTCAGAGTAGATTACCAATTTCTTTTGATCCAAAAGCAGCAACATCTTCCCACCGTCCTTCTTGAGGTAACATAATGGCTGCATATAATTGAATGGAATGGCTATCGAAATTTTAGTCCAAGATTCTTCCCCTCCATATTTCTTCATAACCCAAAAATTGTAAGGTTTTGATCCATATAACACAAGACAATCTCCCAAAACTCAAAGCGAATAATCGAACTTATTATTGAAAACTTCAGGAACCGCAAAGGTTTTGAACTTCTCTTCCTCCAATCGAACGCAGCAATGGAGAATATAGTTTGCAACAACCAATGTACTGCTCCATTTACACAATTCCCTGTGCATTTCGGCCTGCTTCAATGGGCTTAGTTCGAGGATGGATGTTTACAAAATGGACCAGCACAGGGGCTGAGATGTGGTTCTTTGGCCCTGTCTTGTTTGTTCTCTGGCGGGCTTTGAAGATGGACCGTCATGGGCTCTTCGTGTTGTACTGGGCTTTAAAGTTTTCTGGGTGGGCTTTAATGGTAATTTCGTTATTTCTTCTCATTCTTTTGTTGTAATAATAACAATAATAATTATTTATTATTGAATTACTTGAAATTTACTGTATATAATTTGACAAACATCAATAATTGCTTGACATTTGGATTTATAATTCAAGAATGTAATTAACTTAAAGTGAATAAAATAAAATCAATTAAATAGACTCTTTGATCTTTTTGAAAACGTATAAAAAGTTTGTCATTAGAATTATTAGCACATATTGGATCCTTGTCTTTGTTTAATTATTTGATTCTTTTTCTTTGTTTGATTCTTCTTCTTTTTCTCTTCCTTCTTCTCTCAAATTCTCTTTCTCAAATTCTTTTACCAAATCTTTCAAACTCTAAGGTAATTTTATTGATTTCTATCAGCATTTTAATACCATTTTCTCAATTAATTGAACAATCTCTTACTTCACCATACTTAAAAAGCTAAAAAACGCTTATCCATTAAATAAACTTTTTTTACCAATAGATAAGTCCAACGTTCTTATTGATCCCATTATTAAATCATATTTAAAATCCGTATTTTCTAGCTTTCCTTTAAATACGCTTCCTATGAAGTTTGTATTCCTTTGATCAGTTCACCTTAGACTTATTTTCTTTGGTAGTCATGGCTTAGCATTTCTCAATTCTATTAATATGATTGACATCTCTTCTTAAAAAAATTAATTCATTTAAAGAAAAATACATATTAATTAATTAGTACATATTATACCTTTGGGTTTAGCATGAGTTTATTAAATTTTGATGTTGTATGCTTGTGAGATTGTCTAATTGCCTTAACTGTTTTTTATATTTTACAAACTCAATTAGAATCTTAATTTCTATATAAAGAATGCACCCATACAAGGTCTAGAAGCATAAGAGGAGCTTTGAGCTTTGAGACTAGCTTTTTCCTCTTAAATGATCAAAAAATTACTCAAACGAGGCCACCAATGCATTCTATTTTTATTTTATTTAACCATGATTTCAAAGTTGAACTATTATTGTTATTATGGGGCGAATAATAAAAAGAACAAATTTTCATAATTCGGAATTTTTATGTTTTTAGTGTTAGATAAAGTAATAAATGGTTTATTGATACCATTTAATTAGGTGATTATTTTAAAAATTGTTCTTTTTAAAAATTAATTGAAAATTACCAACAGACCAAACCCATAATTCCCGAGCCAAAGATTTGAGATCTCTCATCTTCAAAAGTTTAATCTCTTTCAATTTCAATCTCTAAACTTCTTTCTCACAGAAACATTACAATCCCTATATTTCCTCTCAATTCTGATGGGATTTCGACCGTTAACAGCTTAATTCTTAAATTTTCCTTCGTTTTCTATCTGGGTTTCCAACTTTCCCACAAATTTTCTTGCACTTCGTCACCTGGGTCTCTCTCAGAATGGGCAAAGGCCAAAGCTTACAAGGCCATGCAGCGACATAATTGTTATATTGATAAAACTATTAAAAGGGTATTGACTATTGAGATTGTGTAAATAAATTTATAGACTTTTAAAAGGGAAATCATGGTACTGTTGTTTCGACATGATATTTTTAACATCTTTTTCTGAAATTAGTGAGGAAGTATACATTGTATGTAATGCTGATTCGGTTTTGTATTTTAGTAATATACAACCCGTGACGGGTAATGTTCTAGATCTATCGTAATTTGCTTGTTAAAGTTTGTTCAAATAGGGGGAAAAAAAGGAAAGAACTTTATGCTTATTTAAAGGAGAACCCATGTTTTGAGAGATTTTACACCTTTTATGTATGTTTTAATTTTTCGATTTATGTTGACAATGAATTTTGACCCATGTTTTGGAAAATTGAATGACAAAACTATCTGTTAGCGATGAGAATTTATATAGGTTGATAGGTTTTAACACATTAACAATAATTAGTTGGGATACATTGGTTTGTGCAGATGTAAATCTTAAATCATCTTCTAGAGATAAGCATGTACAAGGTTTCTTGACATGCATTTAGAAAATTTCATTCAATTCTGTAACTGTACTATGGATGATTATCTTTTCCTGGAATATTTCTGATGGGGCCCTTGCAGGTGGATGGGTCTTTTCATTCACCATGGTGGCATGCTTCTCGTTTGGCCAGCATTAAAACTTCTCATACAATTACCTGGGAAGAATTGTAAAAGAAGCAAAAGGTGAGCTGTTGCGCATAGCTATAATTGTCCTTCTCATTCAATGTAACTCAAACTTGGCAGAAACTTGCAATTTTAACCATGCACAGCTATAAATATGTGTAAAGTTTAATGTAATTATCTGTCTCTATTGAGAAGCAAGCCAGTATTAATAATAGTGAAAGTTTATTTAGAATAGAATAATAACAATGGAGCTTTCGCTTTTGCAACCCTGACTTCAGCTTAGTAGAGTACTTGCAAACTAGCATTAATTGAAAGAAATCTGTTGCGAACCTACCCAGAATTCTCAGTCCTTCACACACACACAACTCATAACAGAAACAACAGCAGTTTATTGCAACATTAAGAATTCCAGAATAACAGAATAAGCGTATTTCATTGATAACATCAGCATTACACCAGTATGGTTTTTATCTCAATACCAGATCTACTGAATTTAGTTAGTCACCAATGGAACAATGAAAATAAGAGGAACCAACAATAGAACAAAATAGAAACAGATATGCTGGACTTCGAGGGCCAGCTACCTCCCCTTTTCCTAACTTCTCTTTCGATAATTATTTCCTCCTCTGCTGCTCCCTTTATTCATTTCTTCTCCTCACAGAATTTATCCCTCCACCAGTTATCTTTCGCCACCTGTCCCTCTACCTTCAATTCACACTTTAGCTGCTTCCTTTAACGCTATTGATCCCCTGGTGCTTCTTCCCACGCCTCTTGTTAAACACCAGCACTTCGCGTGTTGTATCAAAATCTCAAAATGTTTGCTTTGTGCTTCTATGACTATGTGATAGGAAAATATAATGGATTTTTTTTATTTCTGCACTTCTGGGTTTGAAGTTATACCAAGGGAAAAAACTTGTGTTTGCATATTCCTGAATATAATAAAACTAGGCTGATAGTATGTGGCTGTTAAGAGGCAAATAAAATAAAGTTAACCATTCAATCTTAATAATATATTTCACCCAAACTTTGTCGCTTCAATGGCCCTATCTGATTCTTTTATGTTTATGTAACATTGTTTAGTTCAATATATTCATGTTTAATTACAACATTTTCTTAATGCGTTCTTTTTGAATATGTGCAAGTTACTGGTTTTGGTGCTTGCATTAATTTTTGTAAATTTACGAAATTACATGTTTGTCACATATATTTGTACTTGATGTTTTAGGAAGATGAAGTAAGAAAGGGTGAACTAGAAGCGGATACCAATAGAATGATGTGAGAGTACAGAGCTCAGTTAGATGCTGAAAGGACACACAAGCTGGCCTATGGAAGGAACAACTCTAGCCAAGGGCGGATTCAGCCCCTTTGAGGATAGGCCCAGGCCTACCCTCAAGTTTTTTTTTTTTTAAAAATTATTAATATAAAGACCTACAAAAATTGCTATAAACATATATGCCTAGGTTTATCCCAGATTTTTAAAAAATGAGAATTATTATACATATATCTAGGCCCACAAAAAACTTATTATTAATATATATATATTCCAAGCTCATATCATATTAAAAGTTTAAAACTCTTTCCACTCTTCTTTCGGTTCCACTTGTTTTTTATGATTTTATCCCTAAAATTCTTTACTCTCTCATTCTCTCATTCTCTTCATCATGCTATTCAATCTTAAAACTTTTAAAACTGAAATTGTTGAAGCTTTCACTACTCAAGATGTCATAATTAGCTCTGTTTTCTGTTTTATCAGTTTTAGGTATGTATATTGCTCATTTCAATTTAGTTTATTTTAGGATTAAATCATACTTTTTTTTTTTTTGGAGGTTTTTTATTCTAATTTGAGGGGAAAGACATGGATCTTGTGAGTTTATTTTGTGTTTTGTATCTAAGAATGAACTTGTTTTCCCAAATTAAAACTTTAACTATATTTTAAAAGTTATTCTTTACTTTTCACCTACCACTTTCCTATATTTCAAACGTCATTGTTCTGTTACTCAAAATAAATAAAGAAATTTGAGTTACTATCTATGTTTATATCAAGAAAATTCTTTTTTTTTTTTATTAATTCATATATAAAGTCAACGCAATGTTGACTTGATTTAAGTTTTGGTTGACTTTAGTTTATGTTAGGTCTGGTCAAAAGTATGAAAAATTTATTTTATAATCTTTGGAAGCCAAAAAAAAAAAAAAAAAAAAAAAAAAAAAAATTCTAAAAGAAGGTTTTGCTCAAGGTTTACTTAACACATTTACTCAAAATTTTGCTTCTCATGAATTTATTCAAATAGGAAAGTATTGCATTATTGCATTCTTTTTTCTCAGATTCTTGATATTGTATTATTTTCTTTACTTAAGGTTTCATGATTTTTTGAAGTTTTTACTAGTTGTTTAACAAACAATGATGGAGCCGCGAAGGCCCCTCCTGGACAAAAATCCTGGATCCACCACTGACTCTAGCAGTAAATCTAGTCATAAAAAGGGTATGCGTACAAGACCTTGGAAAAGGAACATCTTATCACATTCTTTTATGATTACCCACCATATTTTCCTGGCTCTCTAATGGTGATATGTGTTCTTGTAGATGGGAAAATCTATGTGGATAAAGAGACTGGGAGAAAGAAGGGTGATGCTCTTGTAACATATCTTAAAGAACCATCAGTTGCTTTGGCTATTCATTTTGGATGGAGCTCCTTTTCGTCCAGGTGGAAAGATCCCTATGCGGTCACCCAAGCTAAGTTTGAGCAGAAAGGGGATAGCTTTGTATCCAAGCAAGTAGACAACGAGAAGAAAAAGAAGATGAAGGTTGAAGAGAAGATGTTTGCTGGGGTGGCCTTGATGATGCAAAGGTGACAATTCTGGCTACTGTAGTTCTTCGTTATATGTTCTCCCTTGCAGAAATGAGGGCTGATGAAAATTTACGTTCAGAATTGGAAGCAGATGCTCAAGAGGAATGTGTAGAGCTTGGTCCAGTGGACCAGTCAAGGTTTGCGAGAATCTGATGAATACCACTTCCAAAACTACCACTCACACAACAACCAAAGATGAAGATTTTAACATCCAATAGATAGCTCCATTTAGAGAGATCCATAGGCTTGAAACTTTAGTAGGAAAATGGATAGGGGTATTCTTTTTAATGCTTTTCCAAGAATTGTTTCTCAAAGAGAAGATGTGGAGAGTTGATAACCAAATCCAAATAAATATTCACAATGGTCTTGTTCTTGAAAGTTTGAAATTGTCTTGGACTCTCTTGTGGATGGATTGCATACAATAAAGAAAGGGAAATCATCAGATTTTTGAGGAAGAATTCCAAGCAAACAAGCCAAACCATTACTAGAATCATATGTTGAAATAAGGTTTATGGGATGTTTTTACTTCAATCTTATTAGAAGCTGAAGCTCCTTTGCAATAAATTTGTTATCGTGATCATGACATGTTTCGAGGTGGACCAAGAGGAGAGAGCCTGAAGCACAAACGAGGAGTCTGTCTTTGTGGTTGAGTTGAGTGTGTATCTTGATAAAATGAGGGTCGGCGATTAAAGCTAGGCATTACTTGGATAAACAACGGAATCGGAGAAGAGAGCTGGGTAGCTTTGAGAATATTTTGATGGTGAGCTCTGGTGAAATATTTGCCATGGTTTTGATGGAAAGTCAAGAGCATACACAAAATAGTCAAATTCGTTGGAAAAACCCAGCGAATAAAACACCAGAAAAACACCAAAGAGAAGAAGAGCATATAAAAAGCAACGAGGGTCTGGAGAGAACAAACAAAAAATCACAGCAAAAGCTGTGCAAGAGGGCCAGCCACCAAAACAAGAATCATGGACATCGGAATTTGAGCCCAAAAACTGCATAGAATTGATGAATGGAGCCCAAAAACAAATACATGCCAGTTGCTTATAACCCATTATTATAAGCCATTAACCCTTCACCATCGCTATCAATATTTGGAAATCCTTAAAACATAAGACAGACCTAATCTTGAAGAAACTTACCTAAAGAAAAACTGCATAGCGCTTATTAAATTGGCAAGCTGAAAATTCAATTTATAGGAATATATATTGCTTTCATTAAAATGGCTATGAATTTTCTTTTCATAAGATATTCGTATTTACACAATTACAAATTTTTTCTTTCAGGCATTGCATCCAACATCTCTTAAAAGGCTCACCTCAACGCAAACCTCTTTCAAAGAAGAAGGCATTTTATCACACTTTCCTAATACTATGTCATACTTATGTTCCTTCCATTATTTTAAAAAGATAGTAATATACATTTGGCATAAGGAAGTCTGATATGCATCCAATCTTAAAGCTGACCTACAATTAAATATATGACCAATTAACTTCAAGTCACTAGAATCATCTCCTGCCTCAAGAAGCTTCATTCCGACATATACACCCATAAAGGATCGGTAACTGATAGGAAACCACTCCAGAATCACAAACACACAACCAAACAGCAGCTATCAACCATGAACAAACCAGCAAACATACACAACCCAAGAGATGATCAAAAAATAGATATTTGTATTGATGTTAAACGTTCAATCAACAAGAACAAACGAAAAATAAAAGATGAACCAGACATGATAAAGATAAACGTAGCCTGCTGCAATTTGCGGGCCAACAACCTCCCTTTTCCCTTTCCTTTACTTTTTCCAGAATATCTCCCCTTTTATTCTATTCCTCATAGAATTCTTCAATCATCTATCTGTCCCTTAACACCTCACACACAAATCCCCTACTTCACACCCTTTAAGTCTCTTAAAATAAACCAGCGTATTTTCATCATTAGCAACAATTCGAGGCAATAGGTCACAAACTTCAAGTTCACTTTCTGTTCGTTATTCCTTGGTTTGTCTCATGTTCTTAATTTCTGAGAAGATTGGATCTGGGCACTGTCTTTCCATCCAAACAAAAATAAATAGATTATACATCTAATTCCAGCTACTTGATAAAACTGCCTAGAGATTTATTAAAATATAGAATTAGAGATTTATACATTCTACATCAATCTGGCATAGAACATTCAAATTAGAGAAAAATAAGATAGAATTGAATCAGAAATAGAGATATGGACTAACCAATATATTTGTAAAACGGCACTGTATAAGATGTAGGTTTTAGAAGATTCTGAAGCTGAAGGATTAAAATTCTTTTAATCTTTTAGATGGTGGTTCATCTTCATCATCAAAATACTCTTCTATTTCTTTCTCGTTCACTCGAGACCTTTTTCACATCAAAATTTATATGAGAATGGAAAAACAATGATTCAGTATCAAATTGTAAAAAAAAAAAAAATTGATCAAAGTTCAAGAGCAATATGAGAATGATTTACCTTGAGCTCGATTCGCCATATATGAAATTTGCAGATGTTGTTATCTTTGAGATTGGTTCATCTTCTGACCCATCACAGTCAACAGCCGCCGTTGATCCGAGAAAATCTTCATCCAACTCATATGAATTCCCAAAACCAGAGCTACTGGGTTTGTTGGTCCTTGGCTTCAACTCTTTCAGTTCTTTCTCGTATACTGGATGGATCCCACACCTCTTCACCACCAATGCTGGAGTATCTGATCCAAATGAAAGCTCAACAAAATCTTGAAAGAGTCCTTGAGGAAAATAGATTAGCCAAAGATGGTCTGACACTGTCTTGCCCCGATACCCATCAAAACCAATATGAATAGTTTCACGTTTTTCACCGATCGGAAGGCAATAAAGGTGAGTTATATCCATTTCTTCATCCTCATCTCGACTATGATGCTCATGGAAATCGAAAACACAACAGGCAGCACATCCCACCATCTTGTTATCATAAGAATCTGGAGGCCTTTCTATTTTAATTGAAGAAGACTCACTCTTATGTTGGAACCACTCTGGAATTTCACTTCCAGGAAAAACCATGGTAAGTTCATCCACGAGCATCGTCTGACGATGATACGTTGCCTACACTCAAAAAAAGAAAGAAAAATCATACAATAATGTTTAACTCAAAAGATGAAGAGAGAGAAGGAGAATTACACTGACCTTAAGGTATTCTCTGGCCATTGAAGATGCTAGATTAATGTTGCACCGAATCAATTTCAAGCAGTTTATACAAAAAAATTCTGAGAGCTTGGAATCGCATAGCCTTAATGCATTTGATGTTGTTTCCAGTGCAACACAACCATTTATGTTAATAGATTTTATGTTGGATGGAAGTTCTGGTAGAGATCCAAGTCTCGTACAACCGTTCAAGTCAAGAGACTCAAGCTCAGAAAGATGATTGATGCTTCCCGGTAGTAAAACAAAATTGTTTTTGCTTAGGTTTAACGTCCGTAATGAAGAAAAGCTACCGAAAAATTCATTAGGAATCGCTTGTTCCTCCATATTGCAGTCACTCAAAATCAATCTTTCTAAAGATCTGCAAAAATCTGACAAAGTGGGCAATCTAAAAGTCTTGAAGAAGACTGAAGACCAAGATTTTGATGGCGGTCCCTTGCATCCACTAAAATCTAAATCTTGAAGATTCATCTTAAGAAAAAGGGGCACCATTGGCCGTCTTATCGCAGTTCCACGTACTCTAAGGCTTTTTAGACTTTCAACTTGCCACAAAGTCTCTGGCAAATTATCAAGTTTGGAGCATCCAGAAAGATATAATGCATGAAGAGATGTCAAACCATTTATAGTATTAGGAAGACTTACAAGATTTTTGCAGTTGTCCATAATAAAATATTCAAGTCCACTTAAAAGTTCAATGGACTTTGGTAGTACTTTGATAGCAGTTCCAAGTAAATGAAGGTCACGCAGATTGTCCATACTTCCTACAATCTCTGGAAACATCTTCAAATTGCAGCAATAACCTAATAAAAGTTCTGTTAAAGATTCCATATGAATCTGGTTTGGGAGAGTTGTAAGACTTGTACACCTCATCATATTCAAATAAGTAATCTTTTTGTGAACCAACAAAGACGGGTGAATCTCACGCAACATTTTACATCCCAAAAGATTCACATCCTTGAGATTTGGGGCCGATTCTAAATCTGGCATTTTGATTAAGTACTGACAGTCTATAAAATTGATGGATTCCAAATTGTTGAAAGGCTGTTAAAAGAAAAAAAGTTAGACAAAGATGTGCTTTTCTTAATTTTCCAATAAAAAACATAAAATATTCCATACAAATTAAAATAGGAACGTGTAATTAAATTAATCTTACTTTGATTCCCTGCGGCAATTGTTCAATGCGACTTTCTTCCAGATTCAGCTCAATAATTTTGTCCAATTGCAAATTTGGTGGTAAGGATTTTAAAGGATATCCTTTCCAATCAAGTAAACGTAAGTTGTTGGGAAGGTAATCAAGGCCTTCTGGAAGTTGAACATTGCAGATCTTGAGTAATCTTAGACTGAACATTTTCGAAAATGCTTTAGCACAACAATGGATCTCTTCTGTAGAAAAGTTAAGCATCATGCCTTCAACCTTTCCAGTTCCCTTTAAATAATATAAAAAAAAAATAAAAAAACAAGAGAGAGAGAAAACAAATTAAGAATTAATAACACATGAATTGAACTATATAGATATGATTGCTAGCTACTTCAACATATATGTGTAATTTGCAGTCCACTTGAACAGACAAGAGGCCAAAGTTTTCCTCTACTTATAGGTCTGCCATTAACATTATAACATAAAACTTAATTGGGTTGCACAAAAATTCTTATAAGTAACACACAATCTTATGAAATAGTTCTTCAATTTCAAACTCACTTAATCTTACATATACTTACACCAATTTTTATTAACGAAATTATTATTGCGTAAATTTCATAAATTTTCACGATATTTTGTAAAAATGATTTTTTATAGAAGGAAAAAAATTAGAAAAAAAAAAGGAACTTTGAATTCTATTTGACAAAAAAATTAACCTGAAACAAAACGATAAATTTAAAAATGGAAGTGTTTTGAGGAACAAGAGACTTTAATATGTTCAATTGGCTATAAATTGGTAAACAAATTAATACAGAAAATTAAATAAAAAAATAGACACGCATGTGTAATCTGGAGAGGCTAGCTGGTGTGCTAACAATGCACTAGCTCACTCCTCATATAGATATTTAACTAGTTAAAGCGAATGATGATTGAAGAAGTGCACATGATTATAAAAAAAAAATGAATTGCTTACTGTGCCTTCTGTCAACACTTGACGAATGTCTGCTTCTTTCCACAATCTACTGCGTTTTTCAGGCTGTTCAGGACACTCTTGATAGACAATTTGTCGACCCATTTGTTGTAACAAATCATGCATCCACAATTTATTATCATCTAAAATAATTATGAGCGAATTATCAATTAGAGTATCAATTCCTTCAACTGGAAAAAAATTACAACTTTTAAGAATTTTTGTCACATAATCTCTATCCATTCCTTTAAAGAAACATGCTATATCAAGAAATATCTTTTTCTTTGAATATTCTAGCCCGTCAAAGCTTATTTGAAGTATGTCCAATATTTCTTTGTCACCGTATTCTTTTAGTCTTTCCAATGCATCTTCCCATATACGATCTTCTTTTCCACACAAAGAGCAGCCCAAAACTTCAAGAGCTAATGGAAGACCCCTAGCATATTGTACAACACATTTGCATAGCCCCCTAAATTTTTCTGAAGGTTGATGTCTCTTAAAGGCTTTTGAAATGAAGAATTGGAGGGCTTCATCATCATTTAATTCTTCAGCCTTGTAAACTCCATCTACTCCATGGGATGTCAACAAATGTTTGGTTCTTGATGTTATTATGATCCTACTTCCCATACCAAACCAATCATGCTTGCCAGCTAATTTTTCTAATTGCCTTGGATGGTTCACATCATCTAAAACAATAAGAACCTTCTTACGCTCCAACCTACTTCTTATCATGCTTATTCCACCATAGACATTGTCTATGTTTATGTCATCTTTTTTCATATCTAGAATTTGGGAAAGAAGCATCTTTTGTAAATAAAGTAGACCCTTTTTTTTGGAAATCTCTCTAACATTAGCCAAAAAACTGCGACCTTCAAATTCAGCAGAAAACAACTCATGATAGGCAACTGTAGCAATTGTTGTCTTACCTATTCCTCCCATTCCAAAAATCCCAATCATACGGACATCATGTGACTCAAGACTTATAAATTTCTTTAGTTTCTCTAAACGTGAATCTATGCCTACTAGGCCCTCGACACTTGTGTATTTTGGAAAACATAATTTGCTTGATATTTCCTTAAGAATTTCTTGAATAAATTGTGTCTCATACCTGAAGAGTGGAAAAGATCAAGAAAAAATTGTGGTTACAACACTAGCTAGTCATGAATATACTAATGAATAAATAGTGCATATCATAGAAATTATCTACGTACACAGTACGCCTATAGGTTATACACATAAAACTTTAATTTTTGTCCTTTTTGATTAGGTTTAGTTTTAGCATTCAGTCACCATTGTAGTTATATTATCTATATAACATAAGAATTTGTTAATTAAATATTTCATTGTACGAATACTTTTAAATTTCTGATAAAGATAAAACTTTGTTTGAATAAAAAGTTCAATGCTTAATTTGTAGTATCAGCACTCATGACTAGCACATTTAATATCATTTTGATAACTAAGCTTTCCACTATAAAGAAGAAGAAATAAGTGTCACATACCCATCATTTAAGTGAAATCCAGAGTGATTGGCCACCTCTGTCAAAGCACTTCTCCAAGTTCGCACCTTTCCAATATCCTCTCTAAAAGTTTTTTCATGTTTGACAAAAGCTTCTTCAAATTCTCCTGTTTGTTTTCTGACCACTGAAGGATCCACGTTATAGAAAACTGGAAAAATTGTTATATTCTTGCAATGAACAATTTGAACAAGTTCATCTAAACACCATGTGGAAGAAGCATAGTTTTTTGAGAAAACAATAACTGCAAATCTTGATTCTTCAATTGCATGATCGAGCTGTGGTGATATGAGTTTTCCTTTCTTAGCTTCTTTGTCATCCTTAAAAACACGCAATCCTTTCTGATTGAAAGTAGCATACAAATGATCTACGAAGCTCTTCCGCGTGTCTTCACCTCTAAAGCTTAGAAAGACATCATATTTCCAACGATAGGAAGAAGATGTTGATGAAGAGGTTGTTTGCATGATGAGTCTACAAGTTTTGTTGATATGTATGTGCAAGCAATTTCGTCAACCTGGAAATTTAATTGGAAATGTAATCAACTTTTGGCAGACCATCTATATGTATTTTCAATTTCTAGAAAAGAAAAGAAAAAAGAAAAAAAATCAATCTTATATTTTATATGAATTTTTTTTTTTTTTATATAAAAGCCACCAATTTGTATTTTCGGTTTTTTTTTTTTTTTTTTTTAAAGTTTGTGATCAGAGAAATCATACTTAGATCACTATGTTTCTATCTTTTAGAGGCAACAATTAAAAAAAATGTTTATTGTATTATTATTTTCTAATTATAAAATAAATGATATCATATTTTAACTATTTAAAAATTAAAAGATATATGAACAAGTACTCAGAACAAAAAGAAAAAAAAAAACAAATCGATGAAACAACAGAGGCACTTACAATTAATCAGCCTTGGAAGTTTAGATCTGATACTCGAACCTCAGAAACCTTGCGAGAATATAAATATCAAGAATCTTCAACCAAATATTTTGACTACTTGTTCAGTTTGTTTAAAACATACATGCATCAGTACTTTCATAAAATAGAAGAAAAATAATACCCAATAAACAAATAGATCAAGATCTGAATGTTTTATAATGAGATGCAATTGGTCCCGAGAGTATGTGAAACTAAATATTAACTAAGAAATAAGAGAATTAGTAGATAAAAGATCAATGAAGGAAAATATTGATGAATATATTTCAAAAGAAATTAAACTTACAGCTTTGAGGGTGTTGAAGCGATGAAAAACCATTGAACTTTCTTACTTATTATGAATGATTTCTCCAATTTTTCACGCTTCTTGAATGAAATCTGCGTAGAAACTTGCAGAGGAAACGCAAGCAAACTTCCAGGAAAATCGATGGAAATTTCTTTACAATTGCGTGAAGGGGGAAAAGTTCTCTTTAATTTTGATCCTTTTCATGATTACTTTCCCATTCTAAAACAAAAAAGCAAGCCATGATTAAAGTCTTACATCTGTCAAAGCTGTGTGCAGTGGTGGTTCCCACCATATTTATTTAAGTTTTTCCTTTGATTACAGGGTGACACGTAAGAAAGAAAGTGATCTTAACATATGGTACACTGGGACCCAAATTAATGTAATAACATTGACCTTTACAGGTTTTGTCCAATCAGGAAGTATTGATGTGGTTATGGACCATATGCATGGAGTTTATCTACCATCACTATATATCAATGTACATGTACCAATTCCAATACAAACAAATATTTAATCAAAAATTAAAAATAAGTTAACTTATCTCATATCTAGAGATAATATTATATAAAAAGGCTACTAATTAATGAGTAATCATTATGCATTCACGGCCCACGATTAATAAGTCTTGCTGATCGTTGGATGTTAGAATTTAATAATTGTATTATTGCTTTGCAAGTCATAATTAAACTAAATCTGGAATGAATTCTCAATCAATTTGAGACATACATAAAAATGCGTCATCAAATATCCCTAGTCATGGTGTTTTCTCTATTTTCAAAAAAAAAAATTATTAGTTTTATAATCTTAGATATTTTATTTTCAAATAAAAATATTTGAAAGATGAAACATACTTATTATATTAAATAAACCGACAACTTCATAAAGCTTTTAATCTTTAATTATTTTCACTTTCTCTTTTTAATTTTTATACTTAATTTTGAATTATTTTCAGTTTCCAATACCATTTTCTTAATATATAAAGTTTCATTTTTGCTTTTGGTCTTGCAGTGAATTAATTTATCTAGTGATGACTTCTTGTGCATTGTTTTTCCTAGGGGTGGAAAAAAAAACCCGGAAACCGAACCAGACCGAGAAATCGGACTAAAACCAGACCGAAAATTCGATTTTTTTTTTTTTGTTTTGGTTCGGATAATAAAAAAAACCGGATATCCGGTTCGGTTTCAGTTTTTGAAAAACAGAAAACTGGTTACCCGGAACCAATTTTATGAACCGAAAATTTAAAAAAATTATTGCATTTTAATTTTTACGTTTTTATTTTGCATTTGCAATCCCAAACCCTAACACCATCTAACACTCTCACACTCACAGTCTCACGGTCTCACTCGTCACTCAGTCTCAATCTCTTAGACACTCACTTCACTCTCACAGTCTCAGTTTTTCAGACACTCACTTCACTACTTCAATCTTCAGTCTTCACTACTCAGTCTACTCCAGTCTCCACTCTCCAGCTCGGTAGACGGCAGCTCCACTGCTCCAGTACGGCAGTACTCAGATCTCAGGCACACTCGCACTTGCGGCAGTACTCAAACACTCACATCAAACCTCAGTAACTGTCCATCTCTCACACTTTATCACTCTCAGAGTCTCTGTCTCACTTGTCAGTTCTCACGTCGGAGTCACGCGGTGACGTGGTCACGCCGGAGTCTCTCACTCTCAGTTCTCAGATCTGTTGCTTAACCGTCGACAATCACCAGTCACGGTCACCATTCTTCTTCCTTCACCAAGTCTCCACGTCGTCGTCTGTTTCCGGTGGGTGACCTCATCTCTTTGGCTTTTTTTCTTTGTATTTGTTGGTGACCTGGCCCATGGCTCAGATATTTGATTGCCTATAATTTTTTTTTTTAATTATTCTTCTTGTTACAAATTTACAATGTTATGTGTATTTGTTAGTTAAAACTTAGAATGAATGATCTGTAATGGAAAAGAAATTGAAGGTGAAGGTGGGAGGGTGTGGCCGTGTGGGTTTTGCTTGTTTATAAAGGGTGGTGAGTGCAAAGAAAGTTTTATACATAGTGGGAAAATTGCATTGAAGATTATGAAAAAAAGTAGGAAGATGTTCTGGACAAGTTGTAGTAACTAGTACTTTGCCGTCAAGAAGGGTGAGGATTCAGATGATTTGAAAGCAAATTGAGATGGTTTTATGAATAATGTTCTTTTTCTTTTTTAAAGAAATTATTGTGGTTTCTATACATGATTTTGACTTTTTTTTTTTTTCCATGGGAATATGCAGAAATCAAATTTCTTGTTTTTTGGTTTTACTAAAAAGATGAGAACTACAAGTTTTTTGTGTTACTTCATCAATAAATGAATAATGATTTTGGAGTTGAGAATCAATTATTATTTAGTTAGAAATGACTCAGTTGTTTGATTTTGGATTTGGGTGTTTGATTGTTTGTGGTTGCTGTCTAAGTATTAATTATTTATGTATTTATTTTTTATGAATTCTAGTTCTCAAAATGAAACAGTGCAATCCTATTGAATGACTGAAAGAGTCATACGAGAAATTGTCCTCCCTTAAGTAATTTAATTACTTTTTTTTAATATAATTGTAGTTTATTTTGTTCATTATTTTTATTAATTTTTGTGTATAATTAATCGTTTTTCAAGTGCGAAAGTCCCAAAGTGTTGCTGATTTAAAGAAGGAAATCCTCCGATTTTTCTCTCTTCTTGAATGAAATCCTCGCAGAAAACTGCACAGAAAACGCCAACAAACTTCCAGGAAAATCGATTTTTAATTGGTTGTGAAAATGACGTTAATGCACCTTTTCATATTTGCTTTCCCATTCTAAAACTCAGTCATGAGTAAAGTCTTACACCTCTCAAAGTTATGTGGAGTGGTGGTCCCCACCTGAATTATTTAAGCTTTTCCTTTGATTACAGAGTGACCTAAACATTGGGATCCAAATCGATTTAGTAACATTGACTTCCAATTTTTTTTTTTAAATATTAAAAAATATGGTCCATTCTAAATTTTAGTACTAAAAAGTCTTGTCTCACTCACCATTTTAATAATGAAAATCTTGGTCCACCGCCCACCTTCAAATTTTTTAGTAAAACTCGTATAAAAGTAAAATCTTACAATTTGCAAACCGACAGTCTCTCACGTCTTTGCTAACCACATTCCAAATTATTTTCAAAGCTAATAATTTCTTAAGTTGATTAAACTTAAAAGTTAAAACTACAACAATTTCAAACACACTCTATCCTTTCTTCGGTGCTTCTCGCTTTCTAATTGTAATTTTGACTATTAGGTTCTCTAGATTTTAATTTCCTTTTATAGGTACTGCTTGAAATATTATTCCTAATACAATTTTTATTTTAATTCCTAATACAATTTATATTTGTCTTCATAATTGTATCTCTCTTTAATTAAATTTACTTTCCTAAAGAGATACAGATTTCCTCATTGCATTTCAAGCAATCAAAGCAGGCAGCTTGCCTCCTCCATGTTGGCTGTTGTCACCTGTCATGTTTCAATGGAAAGTTCACATCATGAAATTTAATGTTATTATTATATGTTCCATTAATCACTTGCTCCTCAGAACTTTGGTAAGTTTCACTTCTGCTGTCATCTTTTCTATCAGATTTAGTGCAATCCAAACCTTGAGATAAAAGTATCGTCTCTCTCACAAATGTTCATGCTCACATTTTATTAAGATCAAAACCTTCTTAGATGATGTTGATAGAAGGTCATCTAATACAAAACGATAAAAATTCAATCAAATTTTCTCATTTCAAACGAGAATCCTAATTTTTTCGGGATGATGCTAGGATCCAAGTCAGAAAGGTCCACTTACTGAAAGATCATTAAAACAGATAGTGTTAGGTGAGTATGATCTCTGCATCATCTCAAGGCACAATGACACGGTCATTTAATAATTTGGGATCAGATCCTTCAACACGTTAAAATCTTCAGAGCCCAGTTTGACCACAATTCTTTATCTTCAACATAAAATATATAGCTTTACAACTCAAACATGGAAGTTGAAATATTAAAATTATTCATTAATTTTGATCTTTACCATGTTGAGTTTAATGATAATTATTATTAATTAGGACCACACTTAACTTATACCAGCAAAGCATAATTCCAAGTAGGTAGAACTTGGAGAGAAATTAATAGAGAGAGTTTCAATCATTTTCATCACTATTAACAAACATCTCAAAACATATATCCCAACACAATACTAATTTGGCTTGAATTGGGTTTCACAATCTGAACAGAAAAGGTAAAAGGAAGAAGAAAAATAATTTATGGTGTAATGCTAGGTACATATACAAACTACTTCCTACAAACTAGTAGGTGCATTTTTGACATATCATCTATTCTAATTTGTTTAATTTATCTATAATTTAAAATTATCCAATCATATTAAAACACATATGTTTGTATAAATGATTTTGTATAAAAAGTTTGTACTTGCAGTATTATTCTAATTTCTGGTGAAATTTTATGCTTTTTTTTTTTTTTCAATCAAATAAATTTTATTTTGAAAGTTGTGGATTGAGGATTTATGTGTAGCACCATTGCCATTTCAAAGTCAATCAAATTGTCAAGAGACATTGTGGTCATTTCACGTACAAGGTATTTACTATTTAGGAAACAATAAATGAAAATGTGAAAGAAATGACTCACGATGAGCTATACACGTACTATGTGCAGATGTTATGGCCCAAGTAGGGGAAGTTGTCAAAATTATTCGGAAACATCGTGTGGTAATTGCTGATCAAATAGACAAGGGAAATTATGGTCATTTAACAGCCAAAATTATTTTCCTTTAATTTTTAATTTATTTTTTCTTTAGTTTTTAATTTTTTAGTTTGTTAATGTTCCTTAAAGCATGGCTCTAATCTTTCTTCAGTTTCTAATATTTTTTAAATTTAGATTTTGAGAACTAAATTAACTTCAAAAAATAAATAAATAAATACATAAGCATTAAGTCATTTTATCATTTTTTATTAAAGTTAATGGCAAATAACCATTAGATGTCTCTTAATTGAACAATTTGTAACTTTTGTCCGCTCATGGGAAAACCATTCTTCTTCTTCTTATGTCAAAAAGAAATTCATTGTTGTCACTCTATGTCTCCACCGTCACTTCTTTATTCATGGTTTTCAAATTGTTTTGTATGTGAAATGTCCCCTACTATTATTTAACATTCAAATGGTAAACGTAAACGGTGGGGTGGAGTGGAGTCCACACGGCTTCATCATAATCTTTCGTTGTTGATTTTACTTGAAACAAAATTGTAAAATAAATAAAAATAATTGAAGAAAAAAGACGTCTACGTCTAGGTCTATGTGTGAGCCAACTTTCCTTTAATTTCATCCTTCTCTTTCTTGTTTTCTCAAATTCTCTTACACTCCAACTTTCTCAAACTCTCAATTCAATCACGCTCTTACACGATCTCTCAAACTCTTCATTCTTAATTTGTCAGTGCTAAGGTAAGTTGATTTATGTTTATTAGCATCTTAATACCATTTTCTTCAATTAAATTGAACAATCTCTTACATAATTTAAGAGATGATCATCAAATAAGACTGGTCTTACTAACTTACTTTCATATTCAATTCTACAGCTATCTTCTTATTAATTAATTCTACCTCTTAAAATCAATTTGCATTATAGCAACCAAGAACAAATGGCAGAAGGAATTTTGTTTAACGTTGCAGGGAAAATCATAGAGCAGTTGGGATCATCGGCTGTCCATGAAATCGGATTGGCATTGAGTGTTGAAGATGATATTACCCAACTCAAGGACATTGTGAGCACTATCAAGGGGATACTTCTCGATGCTGAGGAGCAGCACAACAACAAGAATAATGAGGTGACAGTTTGGCTTCAGAGGCTCAAAGACGCATTTTATGATGCAGATGATTTGCTCGATGATTACTACACTCAATTTCAGCAGCAAAAGGTGATGTAGCAGACATGTTCACCAAGACAGTAACCTTAGACAAGTTAAGGCTCTTCAAGAGCCTTCTGCATATCGAAGAGAATTAAGAAGAATTTTCAGGGGCAACTAGAAAGGGAGAAGATCAAATGCCAAGGTGGAGATTTGTAGTGATGTGGCATTTTTAAATGACACGTAGGAGTCAAAACTGGAGTTGGCTGGTCAAAGTAATTTGTTAAGACAAGAGGGGCAGTTCTGTCTTTTCCCTTTGTTCCAGAAACCTAAATCGAATTAGGTTTTGTGCGCAGCTCATTTCTCCCTTTTCTCTATTGGTTAACAGAGAGAGAAACAGTTAGAGATGCTGTGCTGGAAATCCAAGATCCGTCCATGGAATCAACGGTGATGGTAGGTGTGAGCTGTCCTTTCTGTTATAGCTTTTTCTTGTGTATAAATTTGTACTGATTTTCTGCCTCTTTGGTATGTATGAGTGGTGAGAGCATCTGGGTATACGGGTGTGTAATCAGAGGGTTTGTATCGGGTTGATGCCTTGGTGTAAAAGGGGTGAGCCGATCCTTATGTAAGGTTTCTCAAACTCATAGTAAAGTTCTTTTCTGGTTGCCTTTGAAGAGTGGATGTAGGTAATCTTTCAGATTACCGAACCACTATAAATTTGGTGTCTCTCTTCTTATCTTTCTTTACTGTATTTGTTTTTCTCTTTTATGCTTGTTATAGTTGAATGCACAATCTGGACTACTGCATGATTCTTTATGTTTTTGGGTCTGATTTACAACAGTTTTTTTTTTTTTTTTTTTTCAAATTTGTTTTACGGGTATGTGTGCGTAGAATGTAGTGTAAACGGATAATTGTTTAAAGGGTCAAGACATTCAAAGTTTATTTATAAAATATGGTATTGTTAATCATACTACACATGGCGGATTCGCTGTTTTCGGGGGTTCGAATCCGCGAGTGGAAGAAGAAGAAAGCTTGATTCTGATTTGATTTTTACGGTTTGAACTTACATATATAATTGTATTTTTGGATTTGAGGCATTTTAGATTTAAGTGATGTGATATGGAATGCCGAATTTACTCTCAATCAAAGATATCATGCACATGCTTAAATGTAAACAAGGCTAATTGCTGATTTTCTGTTATTGATTATTTCCACTCATTATTGTGTAGTTACTATATTTGATTACATTCCTTTTATTTACTCATAGATTACTGTATAAATAAATGATTGCAAAGCTATAATAAAATATACAGAAAAGAATTATTCTCCTCTTCTCTCTTCTCTCTTCTTCTCTGGCATTCTCTAGCAACTTGATTGCATTCACTAGCAACTTAATTGCATCTCTTGCCTTTCTAAGTTCTTGTGATTGGGATGGTGAAAATGACGTACTTTGATATAAATTGTGTTGTTTGAAAACACAAACGGATTGTTGTAATGGCTGAAATGTGAGAAAAAAATGTAATCATAAACCGGGATTTTATGAAGGGAAACGGATAAGAGAAGAAGAAGGTGGTCCCACAGTGAGTGCAGACTTTCTGAGATTTTTTGCTGCCGGTTGGCTTTTAATTTGCAGTCTGGAAATGACTTCCCAATTTGGAGCTGTTGTGGAGATGCTGCCCCTGGAGATTTGGACAGTGGTAATGAGGGTCTTAGCTCGCTGCAGCTGGATTTATATTTGGTGGGCTACAAAGGGTGTGGGCTGCCCCATTTTTATTGCCGGTGGTAGTGGTTTCTCCCTGGCTTGGCGTCTTTTACTAGTGTAGTTGCCTTTGTCCAGTGTTTATTTTTGCCTAGGCCTGAAATGCCTGATCTTTTTGTTCGGGGTTTGTTCGTAGGGGATTATACATCCTTGTGAATCTTTTGGGTTTTTGTATGGTTTACAAATCTTGGGCCTGTCCAAGGTTTTGGTGGCAGGGGATCCCCTTTCCCTAGGTTGTATTCTTTGAATCTTCTATAAAATTATCACGTTTACCCAAAAAAAAAAAAAAAAAACTAGGTAAGTGTTAGCAGTTTGTCAATTAGGGACAAAATTGTAGAAAATTTATGGAGAGGACTTACCTGCTTTTCAATTTGTAAGTGAGCTATTTTATAATTTGACCATTTAAAATGGATCGCTAAGCAATTTTCTCTTTAAATAATATATATTATTAAACATTCTACCTCCTTTGAAATCCAAATTTTCTTTATTCTCTTGTTTTCACGGGATAAAAACAAATAAAATCCAGCACATTTTATCTCTTTGAGACTGCAAGATTAAATTTCTCTCTCAAATGTGATTTTCTCATATAATATATATCATATCTTCTTTCAATTCTTTAAAATTAATTAAATCAAGCTCCATTTCATAGGGTTGTTTTTAGGTGATAGTTTATGTTAAAAATATATTAATTTAAGACAAACATGTCTAACACTTTTACATTTTCTTATTTTCAAAATACTGTTTTTAGATAAATATGTTGGACATGGTTTTATTTTTTGAATACATATAATTTAAATCAATCATTTTTTATATTTTCCATATTTTAAATTTATGAAAGAAGACACTCTTGGAGACTAATTAGTTAATTTTCAACATATACACATGCATGACTCATACATGTAGAGAAGCTTTTTAATTGTTGTGGCATGTATGAAGGTGCAAAATTAATAAGCATACCCGTTTTTAGGTGCATGCTTTTACGTTGTGGCTTTTCATATTATGATGTCTACTGGCATGGGACTCTCACCCCAAAATTATTCAAAGGCTCTTCGGTTCCATTGACTCTTGTTAATTTGGAGATTAGCTGCTTAAAGATTACTCAATTTCTACACTCATCGCCTAAATAAAAGCTTTTCCAACCATCATTTCATAAGCACGGTAGCTATTAAAGAATAACTGTAACCATGAAACTAATTAATAACTTTGTCTTTAATTGTAATGACAAGAGAGAAGCATAGTGCATACCATCAGGCCTATAAAGATGGCAATAAAAATTAAAGAAAATGCTTCGTTGGACACAAATGTTGGACGGTGCCACCAATCTTGCACATTATGTATTGGTTTCATAAAATAAAATATTGTCGATGTATATTTAATTTAAAAATTTTGTTTTATTTATTATATAATTATCGGTACAATTGATAATTTTTAGAAAATATATGTATCACAGAAATTTCATTACACATATAAATGGCTCAGTGTATACATCAAGATCTTCCATTCCATTAGAGACTTTATTATATTGAGGAGAAAGATAACCTTGAAATAAACGAAGTTAAAACATTTTATGCATACGTTAATTAGCTTCTTCTTTACTGTTATTATTCTAATCATCGTTAGAATTATAGTTAGAAATGGACAAAATTTTGCAAAACCTTCAACTTATATAAAAGCACACAACCAAACACAATTAGAATTGAAGCTACGAAGTAAAATGTCATCAGTTAAACTCCCATTGAAGCTCCATTTGCTCTTTTCACTTGACTACTTCCTCACAAAGGCCTGTCGCCGCTCAAATGGCACCGTGAACCGCCGTCTCCATAACCTCTTCGACCTCAAAACCTCTCCCTCCAAAACCCCACGAAAAGGGGTCTCAACCTCCGACACCATCATCAACTCCTCCACCAATCTCTGGTTCCGCCTCTACACACCTCACTCCACTAATAACGAAGAAAAAAGAAACTTGCCAATAATCATTTACTTCCATGGAGGTGGCTTCGCGTTCTTTTCCGCCAGTTCCATTGTCTACGACATCTGGTGCCGACGGCTTTCCAATGAACTACAGGCTGTGATTTTCTCAGTGAACTATTGTCTCGCGCCTGAGCATAAGTTTCCAAGCCAATACGAGGACGGATTCGAAGCTTTGAAGTTCTTGGATGAAAATTTTGATAGACTTTCGATAAATGCTAATTCAGGATTGTGTTTTCTTGCTGGAGATAGCGCAGGTGGGAACTTAGCGCATCACGTTTCTGTAAAAGCTGGAGAGCTTACATTTTCTAAGTTGAAAATCATTGGACTCATAGCAATACAACCGTTTTTTGGAGGAGAAGAGAGGACAGAAGCGGATTTTCTCCATAGTAAGGCTCCGATTATGACATTGCACTTCACGGATTGGTATTGGAAGATGTTTTTTCCAGATGGGTCAGATCGAGACCACCCGGCAGCTAATGTGTTTGGATACAAATCATCTACTGATATTTCTCAGGTTGAGTTTCCGGAAACTTTGCTTTTGACAGGAGGGTTTGATATGTTGAAAAATTGGCAAAGAAGGTACTATGAGGGGTTGAAGAAAGCAGGAAAAAAAGTGAATTTGGTGGAGTATCCGAAAGCATTTCATGGATCTTATATTTTTAAGGAGTTTCCTGGATACCCTTTGTTTATAAAAGATATTAGAGAGTTTCTGGAAAAACAAACAAAAAAAAAATTATCAGAAATGTGGTTAGATTAATTGAAAGTATAAAACTATACATCGAACATTTTATATAATATTTATAATGATAAAAAATGATTAGATGGAAGTTTTTTTTAATTTAAAATTAGTTAATCATCTTTTATCATATCATGTTATATAATAAATATTATATAAAAATATTATATGTATAGTATTATTCTAATTGAAAATAAAAATGTTTTTATATAATAAATGTTATATAAAAATATTATATGTATTGAAAATAAAAATGTTATATTTGGTATTCTCTCATGTTCCCTGTTGTAAACTTGAATTATACAACATGAATTAAGTTAATGGGTAGTGCATGCATGTCATTGGTTCCAGCTGTCAGTTTCTTATTAATCTTTGTGCTTAGGATACAAAGAGAGTCTTCTCCTTCACTTCGTATCAGAAAGAACCAGAAATGTAAGAAGAAAAAAAAAAGGTGAAATTTCTTTATAGAATCAAACTCAGTAAACAAAGTTGAGATCTTTCAACAATCCTTTTTCTTTATTTCTATTCACACTCTAATTTATCTTCAATCACAAATAGAAAAGCTAAGTCCATAAAGATTTACAAATCGATCCTGCAGCTAGGGGTGTTCAACGCTTTTCTAAACCGAACCGGATTTTCGGTTTGGGAATTTTTCCGAACCGAAACCGAACCGGTTTTAGGAAAAACCAGTTTTTTGGTTAACCGAAAAATAGGTTAACCATTTTAAAAAAAGCGGTTAACTGGTTTTCCCTTTTTTTTTTTAATAAAACTTTTTTTTTTAATTTTGTCCTAAATTAAATTGTAAATATAGACAATACATTGGGAACCAAGAAAAAAAATTTGGGTTGGGATTTTAGATTGAGTGAATTAGGGATTTATTTTAGTTTAGGTTATTATTTATTTATTTAATATACAATATATATATATTTGAAAACCGGTTTAGAAAACCGGTTTTCGGTTAACCGTTTCTAATTTCTCCCGAACTGGTAACCGAACCAAAAATTCGATTTTTTGAATTTTTCGAACCGTAACCGAATCGTTTTTTTGGTTAACCGGTTTTTCGGTTCGGTTAGCGGTTCGGTTCAGTTTTTGCATTTTTTTGAACACCCCTACCTGCAGCAAAGTCTCAAGTTGTTATGCCTAAAAAATCAGGGTTGACGTAAGCTACATTAACAACACCAATCAAAGTTCAGGAAGGCTTTGTGCCATTCAAGAGCTACCACGTCGCCACAAGACAGAGAGAATACAGTTGTCACCAACCCAACAGATTCAGGTTTTATCTATAAGTGAATGGGGACCACACACCTGTCCAAGCCCTAGATAATTTAAGGATATTTACTAAGTTATCAACCAATGGGAGGCAAGAAATGACTTGCACAACGCCTACCCACTTGCAGATTCGTAATCATTACCTTAGATCCAACAGCTATAAATAGAGGACTCCCCCTCTCAAATTCGGGGTCAATCATTCTCTGATTTTCACAATATTCAATAGCAAAGACAACCTGCAAGAAAGAGACTGACTTGATATTGTCTCTGAATACTTAGATTATTGTACCTTTGCTTGCTATTTGCTATACATGACCTCTTGTAACACTCACTTATATAAAAGAAACGGTAGATGTAAGAATCGCTTTAAGCATCTGAATCACTATAAAAATTCTATGTCTCATTTATTATTCAGTCTTTGTACTCATTTGTGTTTACAACCTTATTCCAACTCCAAAATCAATTAATCACGTGTAATTTCTAAGGCCAGCTTAGCACTTTGCACGTGCAAGATCTTTGGTGTCAAAATCACGTATCAACAGTTTGGCGCTAGAAGGAGTGTAGGATTTCACATCAGCTCTTCAGCCAGTATTTCTAATCAATTAGTCCTATCTACGAACTCATGGCTCGAGGTCTTGAAACCAAGCGTGCTAGTACCAACAACAAGGATACCCCCCAAGTACAAGAAGTGACTCCTCCCAAAGTATCTCCAATTCCCCAAAATACTACAGTGGGCATCCCCTTGACCTCTTAGTAGATCTGGCTATAATGGATTACCTGGAAAGATTCAACAACACCTTCCAAACAGTTAACCAAAGGTTAGATCGTTTGGATCATGTCATGACACCCAATTCTGATAAGGCAGTGCTACCTCCAAAAATGTCTGTAAGTCACACTAAAGCATGGAAATTGGTAAAAGCTCATACCATGGGTACTACAACACGTAAGAACAAGGGAAATCAAGTGGTTGATAATGGGCCAAAAGGTTCTAAAGGGCCAGTGAACACTAGTCGTGAAACAGGGTTCTAAAGGGCCAATGAACACTGGTCGTGAAACAGGGAGAATATATGTATCTTTGCGACTTGGTAGTATGTCATATCGTAAGCCGTCTGAAGCCATATCGGAAGGGCACCCCCACAAAAGTGCTCGGAAAGGAGATTCCCACTATCGCCGGAATGATGGTTTTGGCCATCATCGCGAGGGAAATACCCACCATTTGCGGATCAATTTTGACCACCGCGGAGGTCGAGAGAACTCCCCAAGCCATTCAATGCCTTCACATGGCTCCAGCCAACATGTGTCAAAGTATGCCGAAGGCTCTGGCCAAGGCATGGAAGAGTCTGATCTACGGTCTTTCCTTGATCGCAATCGTATGAAATGTACCCACATTGCTGAAAGTGATCCCTAGATGGCTCTGCTTCCTCAGATTGAGGAGTTATAGCGAGCTCTAGATCAGCTTAAAGCTCAACAGAATGAGTGAGGGCAAGTCATTGAGGCGTCTCCTTTTTCTCTAGCAATTCTAACTACTCCTATCTCGTCAACATTTAGAATGCCCGACATGAGAGCATTTGATGGGAATTCTGATCCGCAGGATCATATCCATGAGTTTAATGATCTCATGGAGCTTCACAAAGTTTCCAACTTGGTGAAATGTCGTTGCTTAGAAGTGATTCTGACTGGCCATGCTAAACATTGGTTTAGATCGCTTCCACTAGGGTCTATCAACTTGTGGCAGTAGATGAGCTCGTTATTTTTTAAACACTTTCAAGCCAGTCGGAAGTTCTTAATGTCGTTAAGCTACCTTAGCAACCTACAGCAAGAGAGGAATGAGTCTCTCAAATCCTTCATTGACAGGTTCCATAGAGAGTTGAATAAGGTGGCTAATACACCTGAAGATTTAGTTCGAACTCTAATCATTGCTGGAGCTCGCCCACAAACCAATTTATGGAAGAAACTGCAGTCTGAGGACGATATTTCCCTTACTCACTTCTATAACCTCACAGAGAAATATCTCAAAATAGAGAATTTAGTGGCTGCTTTGAATCGCCATGACCCCGATCCTTTGACCAGTGCTCCCTATTGGAGGGAAGAAAACTAGGTTGAGGGTAGTAGAAGATATAATCGCAAATGAGCTAATGATAATCAGAGGAAGAGAAATAAACAATGGTTTGAGCCCAATTAATCATATGCCCATGTTCCTTGTCGCGATCGCGACCGAAATTTATTTACTCCATTCAATACGTCAGTTTTAGCTATTCTGGATAAATCATAAGAAACTAATCTGCTCGAAGAGCCAGAGCCCATGAAAAATTCTGCTTCTAAAAGAAACAACAAGAAGTATTGCCGTTATCATTAGGATAATGGGCATCATACCGATGAGTGTCGAGCTCCTAAACAGGCTATTGAAGACTTCATTCAAAAAAGGCACTTCAAGGAGTATGTTGATGGTCTAACTCCCACTAGAAGAAGGATCAAGAGGGCGATAGGAAAAAGAACCGTGGTCATAAGGGTCTTCTTCTAGTGGGGACTATTTTTGGGAGACCACATATTGCGGGGAATTCTCGAGGTGCTTAGGAGAAGTACGCTCGAGAAGTTCGGCATGAGCCCGTGAGTGTTTTGAATACGGTGTCGCGACATAGTAAGGTTTGCAGAGAAGAGGAGATTACATTCTTAGAAAAAAACGTGATACAATTGCATCAACTTCATGAGGATGCATCATCGCGGCTGAAATAGAAAGGTACAAAATCCATAGAATGTTGGTGGATAATGGGAGCACCGTGAACATCCTGTTTCAACAAACATTTGAGGAAATGCAGTTAGAGAAGACAGATCTGAAGCCTGTCTCCATTCACCTTTATGGCTTTACCGGGGATCACCTAATTCTCAAGAGAACAATTACATTTCTTGTCACTTCAGTGAGACCACAAAGTGACTAAGATAACAGATTTTTTGGTAGTAGACTGTCTGTCAGCTTTCAATGGCATCTTAGGATGACCTCTACTACAAAACTTTAAAGCTGCCACTTCCATTTATCATCTGAAGATGAAATTTTCCACTCCGATAGGGTGTGGGGAAGTCAAGGGGTCTCAGCGTGAATCTTGCAACTACTATGTCAGAATAGTGTAGATGACATGCAAGGGAAAAGGAAAGCTTCTGGGAATTCTCGAGCAGGCAATGGCGATCAGTAGGATCAAACCGCAACTCGGTCCACAGGAAGATAACATTGATCCTCGTGTTCAGGAAGAGTATTCCCACAGTGGGCCTATTGAGACTTTAGCTGAGGTTTCAGTTGACCAAAATGAGCCAACTCGTGTGTTGAGAATCAGAAGCAATCTTAGCCTTCAGCTCACTACTGATTTAACAAACTTCTTCAGACAGAATATAGATGTTTTTGCATGGACTCATACTAACATGGTCGGGATCAGCTTGGATGCTATATGTCATGCACTCAACATCGACAATGAAGTCAGACTAATTTGCCAAAAAAGAAGAGCTATGAACTAGAGCATTATGTTGCTCTTAAGGTTGAGATGGATAAGCTCCTCTCAATCGGGTTCATTCGAAAGACTCATTACCCTAGTTGGGTCACTAATCTTGTTTTGGTGAAAAAAACCCAATGGTAAGTGGCGAACCTGTGTAGATTTCACGAATTTCAATAAAGCCTGTCCAAATGACAGTTTTCTTTTGCCTAGAATTGATCAGCTCGTTGATGCCACTTGCGAGCACAAGCTGTTAAACTTCATGGATGCCTA